ATTGTTGTTTGGCGGGCCCGCGCTGGGGATTCGAACCCGCCACCTTAGGTGTATGTGGCTGGCGCCTTAGCCGCTTGAGCCACAGGCGCCGAGCCAATAGGCTTAGTATTAATTTTCTTTCCTGAGTTGAGTTCTTACATTTTCTGCCAAATAGAATAATAATGGATCAGCCAGGATTATATAATAAGATCCTGAAATGCAGTTACAAAGAAAAATTATTTTGAAATCTTAATCATCTCTAATAGGGAGTTATGAACTTAAGATTTTGATCTTAGCATCCTGTATATAAGCTTTAACGTACCGTTTTGTGACTGCCAGATAGAGTTTGTAATATCCCAAACATGAATTCTTAATGGGCTTCTTTCCATATAGGTCCCCTACTTTGGCAAAGCTTGGCAACGTGTGATACAGATACCACTACTTTCAGGTATTTCTCTCTCTCTCTGAAATACTGACAGAAGCAATCTGTATTTGTGGATATGTATATCATTGTTGTCTTTTTATCTTTAGCCTCTTGTCCTTTAAGTCCCAGTCAGCTGTCAGATTGTTGTGAGAGTCTCATTGCTGTCCTAGAGTAAGTAAAATATTTGTTTGCCTACCAAAAAAATAAAATTTGTTGCTTGCAAGATTTCTTTCTAATAGATATCTCATGTGAGTAATTACTTTTTATTGAGAAGTCATGTGTAACACTTGTTTTTATAATATAATAGCTCTATTGTTTTTACAATGTTATTTTCTATGTGGGGTACAACTAGTAAAGGGATACTCAGTAAGTGTTCTCTAAAAATTAGTAGCTGCCAGCAAATTAAGTACCTTTTATGACTACACTAAATCATACAGTGCTATCTCATAGATCTTGAGTCTTCTGAGAAGGTAGCATCTGGAGGCTTTTAGACGTAATCACAGTAGCAAATCATAGCCTGTGTTCCTGTAAGTAGATCGTTTTATTCCACCTTTTATGCCTTCAAAGACTCAAGTCACTCATTACTAAGCATTATGCTATATACCAGTACTTAAGTGTCTAAAATTACTGAAAGCCTGGACAGGTGAATGACTGTGGAGAGCCCAACATAACCTAGTGGATCTGACAGATTCTTAACCAGTTCTTGCTCCCTCTTGAAGATGTCCAGTATCGGATGATCTCGACATGGTTGGAGTTGCCAGGCAGTATGTCCAGTTGGAACTTCCAGCATTTGCACTGGCTTGTCTGATGCTCATGCCACACTCCGAGAAAAGGTGCCAGCAAATTAAGGTATCTGGTACACTGTTCCTCTGGGACTACCAAGGAAATGTAAGGTCTTATCTGGCACGACCCTGGCAAGAGTTTGCATTTTCTTTTCACCAGACCTTTAAAGCATCAGTTCATCATTCTGAGTGAGGCAGAAGTTTTATATGGGGGTTAGTGGGAAGTGAGACAGAAACATAGATTAAGGTCCAACTGAAGGATATTGTTTTTTTTTGAGACAGTCTCACTTTGTCATCCTCAGAGTGCTATGGCATCGCAGCTCATAGCAACCTCAAACTCTTGGGCTTAAGTGATTCTCTTGCCTCAGCCTCCCAAGTAGTTAGTACTACAGGTGCCTGCCACAACGCCCAGCTATTTTTTAATTGTAGTTGTCATTGTTGTTTGGCAGGCCCAGGCTGGGTTTGAATGTGTTAGCCCTGGTGTATGTGGCCAGTGCCTTAGCCGCTGAGCTACAGGCACTGAGTCTGAAAGATGTCTTAAAACAGACATTAGAGCTTAATCTTTATCAGTAGTGAATAACTGACTTTCTTGGAAGAGTAAAGTGAAATGATGAAGGCAGTGTTTTTGGAAGAATAACCCATTAATCCATGTAGGCTTGATCAGAGGTGAAAGGTAGGTGGCAAGAAAAGGGAAGTCTCAGAAAGTTATTGTGGTGGCTCACGCCTGTAATCCTAGCACTCTGGGACAATGAGGCAGGAGTATCCCTTAAGCTCAGGAGTTCGAGACTACCCTGAGCAAGAGTGAGACCCTGCCTCTGCTAAAAACAGGAAAATCAGCTGGATATGGTGGCAGCTGTAGTCCCAGCTACTTGAGAGGCTGAGGCAAGAAGATCACTTGATCCTAAGAGTTTGAGGTTGCTGTGAGCTGTGACGCCACAGCACTCTACCCAAGGAGACAGAGTGAGATGCTGCCTCAAAATAATAATAATTTTAATTTACTTGATCCCATATGTAAATATCCTGTAGAGAGGTAGAAAAACCTTAATGGGTAGGTATCCATGGTGGTAGAAATGAACTTGAACAGGGTGGAAAGCTATAAGGAAAGCAGATGACTTAGTGATTAGATGTGGTAAATAAAAGAGAGAGAGTCAGATTTTATGTATTGGTGCTTAACAAAAGGAGCCACAGCATTCTGAGGACAGAATTCTTTAAAAAACTCTCATTTTCTTTATACTATAGAACAAAGCATTTTTGAAATGTTTTATAATTATTTTACTCTACAAGCAGATATGCCAGTGAATAAAGATAAATGAACATGCACATTTTGTATTTGTCATTTGGTTTATTAATTATATTTTCCCAAAGCCATCTGCACTTGTCTTTGACTTCTTTTTCCTCTTTTTGATTATAATAAATTCATCCTTTGATACTTTTCAGCATTTCAGTATTTAAATAGATTGCTTTTAGCATTTAGGATGACAAAATGCCAGATAAACAGCTCTTAGAGTGTTTGTAGAATGCTATTTTCTGTTCTTTTGATAATTTTCTGTTGGTGTTTTTTCCTGTATTAGAAATTCTTTAAAATATTTCCAATGCAAAGATGAACACCTTCCAGACTTGACAGAAATTACAACTAATAATACTTTTCCATTAATTATACTTTGATTTGTCTCTAGAATTTTCTGGACTCATGTGATCCTCAGATCATTTTACAGCAATTAGAAGAGCATATGAATACCAGCCAGTTAGCAGGATTTTCACATCAAGTAAGAAGCTATTTTGTCTCCTTTTTTGCTATGAAAATTTTGATGTTAGAAGGTAATCATTTTTTCCAAACCAAGATTAACCTGGAAGCGGCTATGTCTATCTGTTTGTTAACATATAAAATTATTGGCTCGGCGCCTGTGGCTCAAGCGGCTAGGGCACCAGCCACATACACCTAAGGTGGCGGGTTCGAATCCCCAGCCCGGGCCCGCCAAACAACAATGATGGCTGCAACCAAAAATGGCCTGGCGTTGTGGCGGATGCCTGTACTCTCAGCTACTTGGGAGGCTGAGGCAGGAGACTCGCTTGAGCCCAGGAGTTGGAGGTTGCTGTGAGCTGTGATGCCATTGCACTCTACCCAGGAGGATAGCTTGAGGCTTCGTCTGGAAAAAAAAAAAAAAACATATAAAATTATTTTGGTTTTGGGCAGCACCCGTCACTCAGTGGATAGGACGCCAGCCCCATATACCAAGGGTGGTGGGTTCAAACCCAGCCCTGGCCAAACTCCAACAAAAAATAGCTGGACGTTGTGGCGGGCACCTGTGGTCTCAGCTAGTCAGAGGCTGAGGCAAGGGAATGACCTCAACCCAGGAGTTGGAGGTTGCTGTAAACTACGTGACACCACGGCACTCTACCGAGGGCGATAAAGTGAGACTCTGTCTCTACAGAAAAAAAAATTTTTGCTTTTATTAAAACCTCAGTAAAGATTTTAAAAGACAGTGACCCTGGCTGTCTTGCTTGCTTCTCTGCTCTGTGGAAAATGTATAGCCTTAAAAGATTGTAACTATGAACAGATTTTCTTCTTCATAAAAAGTCTCAAAATGCTTAACAATTACTTTTTTGTTATTCTTTAGCAGGCTTAGGATGGGTTTGACACCTCCAGTGCATAGGGCCAGCATTGTCACCATTGAACTAGGGTGCCCAGCCAACAATTAATTTTTCTTTCTTTCTTTTTTTTTTTGTAGTTTTTGGCCGGGGCTGGGTTTGAACCCACCACCTCTGGCATATGGGGTCAGCACCCTACTCCTTTGAGCCATAGGCGCTGCCCCCTCCCCTTTTTCTTGATAGAGATAGAGTTTCACTTTGTCACCCTCAGTAGAGTGCTGTAGCGTCACACAGCTCACAGCAACCTCCAACTCCTGGGCTTAGGCGATTCTCTTGCCTCAGCCTCCAAGTAGCTGGGACTACAGGTGCCTGCCACAATGCCTGGCTATTTTTTTTTTGTTGTTGCAGTTTGGCCAGGGCTGGGGTTTGAACCCGCCACCCTTGGTATATGGGGCCGGCGCTCTACCCACTGGGCCACAGACACCACCCAACCCCCTTTTTTTGTTTTTAATATCTACTGATATGGGGTGCCTGTAGTCCTAGCTACTAAGGAGGCTGAGGCAAGAGAATCGCCTAAGTCCAAGAGCTGGAGGTTGCTATGAGCTGTCATACTGTGGCACTCTACTGAGGGTGATAAAGTGAGACTCTTAAAAAAAAAAAGAAATATCTACTGAAATGGGCCAAAGCTGTCCTCCTTCCCTTGTCTACCCCCTCAAATAGGAGGCTTAGTCTCAATACAAAATAATTCAGCTTCTGATTATCAGAAATGTTTCAATATTGAATAAGGAGTTGGAATTTGACACATTTTTAATATATTTATTCTATAGATTAGAAGTCTAATTCTGAATAATATCATAAATAAGAAGGACTTCGGGATTTTGGCAAAGACAAAATACTTTCAAGTATTAAAATTACATATGATGAATACCAACAATATCACTGAACTAGTAAACTATTTGGCAAATGATTTAAGGTGAGTTCATTTTTCATAAAAACTTATTACTATAGCATGTCCTTAAAGTATCTTTACTTCGGAGGAAAATATCAAATAACTGTAGGGCTATTTGGTTGTGATTTAAAGGCTTTCATTACTACCCATACCCACAAGTTAATTGTCTTTTAACCCAATACCTCAGAGCAAGAATTTGGAATCAGATAATTGAACAAGTTGTTTGAGTCCAGGTGCAGTGGCTGACACCTGTAATCCTAGCACTTTGAGAGGCCAAGATGGGTGGATTGCTTGACCTCAGGAGTTTGAGACCAGCCTGAGCAAGATTAAGATCTCATCGCTACTAAAAATAGAAAAATAGGCTCGGCGCCTGTGGCTCAACTGGCTAAGGCTCTAGCCACATACATCTAAGGTGGCGGGTTTGAATCCAGCCCGGGCCTGCCAAATAACAATGATGGCTGCAACCAAAAAATAGCCGGGCATTGTGACGGGCACTTGTGGTCCCAGCTACTTGGGAGGCTGAGGCAGGAGACTTGCTTAAGCCCAGGAGTGGGAGGCTACTGTGAGCTGTGATGCCATGGCACTCTACCCAGGGGGACAGCTTGAGGCTCTGTCTCAAAAAAAAAAAAAAAAAAAAAATAGAAAAATAAGCCGAGCATTGTGGCAGGCCTCTATAGTGCCTGCTACTTTGGAAGCTAAGTCATGAAGATCACCTGAGCCCAAGAATTTGAGGTTGCTGTGAACTATGATGTCAGAGCACTCAACCCCAGGATGACAGGGTAAGATTCTGTCTCAAAAAAATAAAATAAGGCTTGGGACCTGTAGCTCAAGCGGCTAAGGTGCCAGCCAAACAACAATGATGGCTGCAACCAAAAAATAGCTAGGCATTGTGGCAGGCACCTGTATTCCCAGCTACTTGGGAGGCGGAGACAGGAGAATCACTTGAGCCCAGGAGTTGGAGGTTGCTACGAGCTGTGATGCCATGGCACTCTACAAGGGCGACAGCTTGAGGCTCTGTCTCAAAAAAAAAAATTAATACATAAATAAAATAAAATAAAAAAATAAACAAGTCATCTGGATTCCCCAAATTGGTGTTACAGAGTCCTCCTGTAAACCCTAGATTACAACATTAAGAGACTTGCTCAGAGCATTGATGGCTTTATGTAATACATCATTTTTGCTAAGTTTGGTTATCTCATTTTCCATCACCCACAAATTTAGAAACAATAAGTTTCTTGGGATAGAGTTGGGGGCAGATATGGAAAGTAAAAAGAAGAAAGGAAGTGGGCTGACTTAAAAGAAAGGAAAATTCATTCATGCTTGTGATGATTACTAGGTTTATCTCTGTATTCGGTCTGACTGAGCTGATCACTTGCAGAGTTTCCCTTTCTCATTAGTGCACCGTGGACTCCTTTCTGCTTGTTTAACGCTCGTGATCCAAACATAATTATTTATTGTCATTATGTATGATTTTTCAAGTTATAATTCATGCATATAATAAACTGCACATATTTGAAGTATGCAATTTGGGAAAGTCTGACACATGTGTATATCTGTAAAGCCATCACAGCAATAAAGAAAGCAAACGTATCTACACCCCCTCATCAAAAGCTTCCTCATGTCAAAGCCAGCCAAGGTGGGTAGATTGCCTGAGCTCACAGGTTTGAGAAAAGCCTCTGCAAGGACAAGACCCTGTCTCTAAAAATAGCTGGGCACTGTGGTGGGCACCTGTAGTCCAGAGGCTGAGGTGAGACAATGTCTCAAAAAAAGTTTGGGCGTGGTGCCCATAGCTCAGTGATTAGGCTGCCAGCCACATGCACCAGGGCTGGTGGGTTCCAGCCTGGCCCGGGGCCTGCTAAACAACAACCCCCCAAAAAAGCAGAAAACTTGTACCGCTAACACCTGCAGTCCCAGCTACTTGGGAGGCTGAGGCAAGAGAATCACGTAAGCCCAAGAGTTTGAGGTTGCTGTGAGCTGTGATGCCACGACACTCTACCAAAGGGTGACATAGTGAGACTCTGCCTCAAAAAAAAAAGTTTCCCAGGCTCAGCGCCCATAGCACAGTGGTTACGGCGCCAGCCACATACACCAAGGCAGGCGGGTTCGAACCTGACCCAGGTCAACCGAACAGCAATGACAACTGCAACAAAAAAATAGCTGGGTGTTGTGGGGGTGCCTATAGTCCCAGCTACTGGGGAGGTTGAGGCAAGAGAATCGCTTAAACCTAAGAGTTAGAGATTGCTATGAGCTACGTCACCATGGCACTCTACCAAGGGTGACGAAGTGAGACTGTCTAAAAAAAAAAAAGTTTCCCCATGCCCTCTTTTTCCTTTTGATCCCATAGCATAGATGAAGCTTCGGTCTTAATAACTGAATATTCAAAGCATTGCGGGAAACCTGTACCGCCAGACACCACTCCATGTGACATTCTGAAGGTAAAACTAGCTAAGAGTTCTTAGGTTCTAACCTGACATCATTTATATTTCTAGGGTTTTAAAGTTGATCCAGCCTTTTCTGGTGTTCAGGAGACAGATGTATTTTTGTGTATGACTATATTTTTATGTTTTACTTTTTGAAAGTAAACTTGACTTCTAGATCAGAAGTCAAGAGACCATGGTTTTAATCTCAGTTCTGTCCTCGGGTCTGGACCACAGGGTCTCTTGGATGCTTTCCAGCTTTACAAGTCCTTATCAAGTGTTTTTAATATCAAAGCCGGGAAAAACTAAAGTTTAAAAGATACTGATTGGTTCTATAAATGATTAAACTAAAAGGAAGAAAAAGTTATTGATTACTGTCATGCTTGGGTATTAATTGCTTTCTAAGTCAATTCTTCTTTTTTAATTATCTAAGATATGTTTACTCTAGAAAAAAGAAATATGGAGGAACAGAGTAGACTGGAAATAAAAACTAAACTGATCTTCTGAAATCTGTTAACATTCTGCCATACATCTTTCCAAATTTTTTTGTGTATGAAGTATGCACACAATTTACTTTTATTCCTATTTTAAACTTAAATACAAGGTAAAATTTTTACTTTGATCATGTTTTTGTAGTTTTAGTAAACCTGAGTATTGTGGCCTTTTTTCTTGCTTTGGTCCAGATCAGGCGTATTAAAATAAGCTTATATTCTGTTAACTCCCATTAATAACTTAAGCTCAACAGCATAAGGTTACTTTTTTCAAAGAGGAAAAATGTTGATTCAGGAAACAAATTTATAACCCTTTAAATGTGTCTATTTCTCTCTAATCCTCTCTGTCTAAGATGCCAAAAAATTTTATATGTAGATTTTTATCACAACAGTTAAGTTGTAAGTTCTATTCTTTATCTTTATCTGACTGTTTTCTATTTAAAAAAAATTAAGTGATGCTCATAAAAACCATTTCTGTATTTCTTCCCATTTAGATGTTTCATAGTGGATTATGGTAAATCATAAAGCAATCAAGAATGACAAGAGGAAGTTTGGACTCTGCTATGAAGGAACCATATTTATTACAGTTGCAAATTGTGCAGTCTCTGCATTATAGCAATCCCTCAAACATTAGCCCACAAGTAATATCACACTTAATATTAGCATAATTGCCAAAACTCATGTCCTGAATTAATAAATCTTTTCCTTTGCTAGTTTCTTACATTACTTGTAGAGACTATTAATTTTTTACACTGTATTCAAAGGGGAAAAAAATGCAAAATATTTTGCTCTCCTATTCAAGAAAAGTAACTACTTACAGCCTATTTCTTCCATATACAAAAATGAGAATATTGGCTTGGCACCCGTAGCACCAGTGGTTATGGCGCCAGCCACATACACTGAGGCTGGCGGGTTTGACCTGGCCTGGGCCAGCTAAAGCAACAAGGACAACTGCAACAAAAACATTAGCCAGGCATTGTGGTAGGTGCCTGTAGTTCCAGCTACTTGGGAGGCTAAAGCAAGAGAATCTCTTAAGCCCAAGAGTTTGAGGTGGCTGTGAGCTGTGACACCACGGCACTCTACCGAGGGCAGAAAAAAAAAAAAAAGAATATCAATATATCTTTTTAATGTTACTCTAAGTAAATATTTATATAATTTTGGTTGCACAGTGTATCAGTCAGTGGCCAGCGAGTCCACTCTGGATATGCCAACAAGAGGATTTCAGGCCAGGGATTGTTTATACAGGTATTGAAAGAGCAAAAAGGAGGTGGAAGGAGAGCCCGGAAGAAGGATAGTAACTAGCAGCTGAAGATCAGGAACTAGCAGCTGAAGATCAGGAGCAGCACCTGCCCCTGGCATGTAGCCTGAGCCCACATTTGCTACTCAGCTGATGGAGCTGCCTCTGCCACCGCTGTACTCAGACCCCCAGGAGTCCCTGGTCACACCAATGCTACTGACAGCCACCACCAAGAGAGGAAGAAAATAGCTCTGCACTTTCTCAAACCTTCTCGTTCTTGTGCCAGTGTCAAGACATGACAGAAACAAATAGGAAGCCACATGGCAAGGGGTCTGGCAAGAGGTGGTCTGTAGGCTACTAAAGCCCAAGCACAGTCTGGAAGGCAAAGTGGAGAGAAAAGCCAGCTCACAAAAATGCTGAATGTATTAGTATATTGTTACTCTGCCTCTGCAGTCTTTTGCTATACTTGTGAAGAACTTAAGTAAAGTGAATTTAATATCACTACAATTAGTTTGCATTTGTTTTGCTAGTGGTGGAAAATATTTCTATATAGAAAAGTCAATGTAGAGTTGGGTACCCTTAGCTCAGTGGTTAGGGCACCAGCCACATACTCCGGGGCTGATGGGTTTGAACATGGCCCAGGCCTACTAAACAAAAAAAATAGCCAGGCCGCTTGGCGCCTGTGGCTCAAGTGGCTAAGGCACCAGCCACACACACCTAAGGTGGTGGGTTCGAATCCAGCCCAGGCCCGCCAAGCAACAATGATGGCTGCAACCAAAAAATAGCCAGGCGTTGCAGCGGGTGCCTGTGGTCCCAGCTACTTGGGAGGCGGAGGCAGGAGACTCACTTGAGCCCAGGCGTTGGAGGTTGCTGTGAGCTGCGATGCTACAGCACTCTTCCCAGGGTGACAGCTTGAGGCTCCGTCTCAAAAAAAAAAATAGCCAGGCATTGTGTATTCCCAGCTACTAGGTAGGCTGAGGCAAAAGAATCACTTGAGCCCAAGAATTTGAGGTTGCTGTGAGCTATGACGGCATGGCACTCCACTGAAGGTGACAAAGTAAGACTCTATCTCGATTGAAAAAAAAAAGAAAGAAAACTCAATGTAGTATCATGAGTAAATATTTGAGTTTATTTAATTACTATATATATATATTTTGGGGGGGGGAGGCAGAGTCTAACTCTGTTGCTCCAGGCCATATAGTATCTTGGCATCATCCTAGCTCACAGCAACCTCAAACTCTTGGATTCTTTTGCCTCAGCCTCCCAAGTAGCTGGGACTTTAGGTGCCAGCCAACAAGCCTGGCTCATTTTTCCATTTTTCTGCTTTTACTTTATTATTTATTTTGACAGAATCTCACCTTGTTGCCCTTGGTAGAGTTCCATGGTATCATAGCTCACAGCAATCTCAAACTCTTGGGCTCAAGTAATCTTCCTGCCTCAGATTTTCATTTTTAGTAGAGACAGGGTCTCGCTCTTGCTTGGGCTGGTCTGGAACTTGTGAGCTTAAGCAATCCACCTGCCTCGGCCTCCCAGATTGCTAAGATTACAGGCGTGAGCCACTGCGCCTGGCCAAATTTTTCTACTTTTAGTAGAAACAGGGTCTCACTCTTGCTCAGGCTGGTCTTGAATAAATTGCAATAAATTATAAAATTGCAATTGCAATGAAATTATTTTGATTCATGAATGTAATTATTATATTAATGTTTCTCAATAATTACTTTTAGAAATGTAAATAGCATGATTTGCAATGATATCTTTAAATGGGATTTGACCTATATTTAAAATATAGTCCAGGCCAGGTTTAGTGGCTTATGTGCATAATCCTAGCACTCTGGGAGGCCAAGGCAGGAGGATTGCTTAAGGTCAGGAGTTCAAGACCAGCCTGAGCAAGAGAAAAATTATCTGGGCATTGTGGCAGGTACCTGTAGTCCCAGCTACTCAAGAAGATTAGGCAGGAGGATCACTTGAGCCTATGAGTTGGAGATTGTGGTGAGGTTGATAGCACAACCATAGCTTGGGCAACAGAGCAAGACCCCATCTCTTAAAGGGGGGAGAAAAAAAAGAATAACCAGAATAATTAGCTTAGCTAGCTGTTAAAACATTTTATAAAATCTGAATAATTTTTAAAAATCTGAATTATTAAAACAGTATAGTACCAGCCGAGTACAATGGCTCCCCCAGTCTCTTGGGAACCTGAGACAGACAGATTGAGCTCAGGACTTTGAGACCAGCCTGAGCAAGAATGAGACCTCATCTTTACTAAAAATAGAAAAAAACAATCGTGGTGTTATGGTGGGCACTGTAGTCCAGCTACTTGGGAAGCTGAGGCATGAGGATCGCTTAAGCCAAAGAGTTTGAGGTTGCTATGAACTATGATGGTGACACAGCACTCAAACCAGGGTGCTAGAGTGAGATTGTCTCAAAAAAAAATAAACAGTACAGTACCGGCAAATTGACAGATTAATAAGATACCATAAGAAAAGAAATATGGGGCTGCGCCTGTGGCTCAGTGGGTTCAGCACCAGCCCCATATACCAAGGGTGGCAGGTTCAAACCTGGCCCCAGCCAAATTGTAACAAAAAATAGCTGGGCATTGTGGCAGGTGCCTGTAGTCCCAGCTACTTGGGAGGCTGAGGCAAGAGAATCGCCTAAGCTCAAGAGGTGGAGGTTGCTATGAGCTGTGACACCATGGCACTCTACCAAGGGCAATAAAGTGAGACTCTGTCTATGAAAAAAAATTAAGAAAAGAAATATGGCCAGGCTCACTGGCTCATGCCTACAATCCACTCTGGGTGGCTGAAACAGGTGGAAACCTTGAACTCACGAGTCTGAGACCCTCCTGAGCTAGAGTGAGACCCTGTTTCTAAAAAAGCCAAGTGTTGTGGTGGGTGCCAGTAGTCCCAGCTGCTTGGGGAGGCTGAGGCCAAGAGGATTTCTTAAGCCCAAGAGTTTGAGGGCTGTGAGATATGATACCAGGGCACTCTACATAGGGTGACTAAGTGAGACTGTCTCAAAAAAAACAAATGTAGGGCTTGGCACCATAGCACAGTAGTTATGGCACCAGCTACATGCACTGAGGCTGACAGGTTCGAATCTGCCTGGGCCTGCTAAACAACAATGAGAACTGAAACAAAAAATCACCAGGGGTTGTAGTGGATGCCTGTAGTCTCACCTACTTGGGAGGCTAAGGCAAGAGAATCACTTAAGCCCAAGAGTTGGCGGTTGCTGTGAACTGTGATGCCACCACACTCTACCCAGGGCAATAGACTCTGTCTCCAAAAAAATTTTTTTTAATTTTTGTAATAAAATACACATGATCAGCTCAGTGCCCGTGGCTCAAGCAGCTAAGGTGCCAGCCACATACACCTGAGCTGGCGGGTTGGAATCCAGCCGGAGCCCACCAAACAACAATGGTGGCTGCAACCAAAAAATAGCCAAGCATTGTGGTGGGTGCCTGTAGTCCCAGCTACTTAGGAGGCAGAGGCAGGAGAATCACTTGAGCCTAGGAGCTGTAGGTTGCTGTGAGCTATAATGCCATGGCACTTCACCCAGGGCAACAGCTTGAGGCTCTCAAAAAAAAAAAAAAAAGAAAAAAATCAATTGTCAAATCAGAAGTTGAGTACTCATTAGGTGCATGGCTCTATTTTAGATTCTTTAGAGAATATTGGTGGAATACACAGTCTATATGCCCTATAGAATGAACCATTGCAATGGGAAGAATAAAAATGTATATAGGAGTAAGTGCCGAACACTCGGTCTAACAAGCTAGTGACTCAACTTTTCTTTCGTGTTTTTTTTTTTTTTCTCTCCAGTATTTTGGCCAGGGCTGGGTTTAAACCTGCCACCTCCAGCACAAGGGGCCGGCGCCATACCCTTTGAGCCACAGGTACCGTCCTACTCAACTTTTCTTAAACATTAGAGTCTTTGCTGCACATTTGAATCACTTGAAGGTTTTTTTGTTTGTTTGTTTTTTGCAGTTTTTGACTAGGGCTGGGCTTGAACCCACCACCTCCAGCATATGGGGCCTGTGCCCTATTCCTTGAGCCACCGGCTGGGTTTAGACCCACCACCTCTGGCATATGGGGCTGGCACCCTACTCATTTGAGTCATAGGCACTGCCCAAGATGAAGGTATTTTTGAAATCCCAATGCCACACCCATACCAGTTATGTAAGACTCTGAGAGTTTAAAGTTGGGTTTTAAGTAATTTTCTAAAACTTCCTCAGGTAATTCCAATTGATGTGAATCTCCTGGGGAAACCTCCTTAAATTGCAGATTCGGATTGATAGGTCTGGGTTCAGAGTTCTGATCCTAGGTGTAGTTCTTTTTTTTTTTTTTTTGAGACGGAGCCTCAAGCTATCCCCCTGTGTAGACTGCCATGGCATCACAGCTCATAGCAACCTCCAACTCCTGGGCTCAAGCGAGTCTCCTGC